TTAAATCAAAATAATTTGCCACAAAGAAGAAAACTTCTCAAATTCCAAAAATACAACAAAACCTCGTCATTGGTTGCGCTTGTTCTAAATAAATGGATTCCAAAGTGTGTGATGGATGCGTGTGATGGATGCGTGTGTGATGGATGCGTGTGTGATGGATGCGTGTGTGATGGATGCGTGTGTGATCGATGCGTGTGTGATCGATGCGTGTGTGATGGATGCGTGTGTGATGGATGCGTGTGTGATGGATGCGTGTGTGATGGATGCGTGTGTGATGGATGCGTGTGTGATCGATGCGTGTGTGATCGATGCGTGTGTGATCGATGCGTGTGTGATCGATGCGTGTGTGATCGATGCGTGTGTGATCGATGCGTGTGTGATCGATGCGTGTGTGATCGATGCGTGTGTGATCGATGCGTGTGTGATCGATGCGTGTGTGATCGATGCGTGTGTGATCGATGCGTGTGTGATCGATGCGTGTGTGATCGATGCGTGTGTGATCGATGCGTGTGTGATCGATGCGTGTGTGATCGATGCGTGTGTGATCGATGCGTGTGTGATCGATGCGTGTGTGATCGATGCGTGTGTGATCGATGCGTGTGTGATCGATGCGTGTGTGATCGATGCGTGTGTGATCGATGCGTGTGTGATAGATGTGTGTGTGATCGATGCGTGTGTGATCGATGCGTGTGTGATCGATGCGTGTGTGATGGATGCGTGTGTGATCGATGCGTGTGATCGATGTGTGTGTGATCGATGCGTGTGTGATCGATGCGTGTGATCGAACCCTCGATGTGGACCAATCTCACTAACCAATGGTTCCAAGGGAGAGCCGCAATCAGTGATGTGACACGTGAAGCGTGTATTCATCCTCGTCACTTCAATAATTGTTGTGTGACAAACGCGCCGCGGTCACTTAGCGCGGCTCTGAGTAATCTGCGACAAACGTAACTTTCTCAGCGGATTTTGCTTTTTTTCTATGGAGCCGAACGGAGAAGGTGGCGCTACCGACGCTGGAACGTCGCCCCGAAAGTCGCGCTATCCCGGCCGCTGCAAAAGGTATGTCGCTACGTGTGAACGGGGCCTTATATGAATGACTCCTGACACTCTTACCGTGTGAATGTCATCTAGTGGGCAACGGTAGCGATTTCACAAACCTAATCATGAAAATATCTTCTTCCTAATAATAATAATAAATGAAATGTTCTTATTCTCCCCTCAAAGTGTACACAGGGAGTTCAATAATATAAAAGCCAGCCATGTGCTAACGAGGAATAGTCCCGGCAATATAGCAGGCAGCCAATTTTTAAGAATGTTTGCAGTTTATATGAGACGGGATACGAACGGTTAATCTCCTTCTCTCAGTGATAAATATCCTCCAAAATATGACCAACCAATCGCTGATTGAGAAAAAACCGGAACGTTCCGAGATAATCCATCTTCTCCTTTAGTCTCCAAGTCAGGCAATCCGATTAAGGAGGCGAACACTCTGAGGCCCCGTTCACATTGAGCGATTTATCGCGCGGTAATTCCCGCGATATCGCTCTTCAATGCACCTCAATGGGGCTCTGTCCCTCGCTGTCGCGGGTCGTGCGTCGCTGCAGCAGGACCCTTTTTGGAGCGGATTTTGCCGCGATTCTCGCTTGCTCAATGGAAGCATTTGCGCAATATCACGCAAAATGCGAATCGCGCAATGTGAACGGGGCCTAAGTGCAGTATTCAAGTACAGTTTATGAAATGCGCTTACAAGAATCCAGAGCTGATAAGGCTTTAAGAACGTATAGTGGAAAATCAGCTATGAGAAGTGGAGACCGACCGTCCTTTGACGCGTTTCGTAGATTCACTTTCTCCAAAAGGAGTCATGTGACATCTTTTTCATGCATAGCTGCTGCTGTAGAACCTATTCCTAGCGCAGTGTACCTTGGAACCAAAACCTCGTCATTGTCTCCTCCCATCTGCTGCCAATTCCACCACTATCAGATGAATCGCTTGGGGGTCAGTTGAGATGTTGGGGGTCAGTTGAGATGTTGGGGGGTCAGTTGAGATGTTGGGGGGTCAGTTT